ATATATATATATATATATTTGAAAAAAAGAATAGAATCAAACCACCTTATGTAATTATTATTGTCTAAATAATAATACCGTTTGTCATAAGAGTCTTTTAACGGGATGGAGGTAGTAACATGTATAAGGTTGGCTTAATTCACACTGACATGTACATACGCAGGTTGGGCCTGTGTAAAAATAACCACACATATATACTTCTCAATTTGGCCTGGCTCGATCCATAAAAGGGTTGGCCGATCTGATAAGCCACCCGGGTCAATTGAATTGCTTATACATACATACATATATAAATACACATATAAAAACATGTTCTAAAAATGTCTTAATTATTAGTGTAAAAAATTTCGTGTAATATGCTTTTCATAAAAGTACCGTACGAGTTGCCAACTCCTTTTCTCACTGAAAATGAAGTTTATGATCCATTCTTTTATTCATTAGTAATTTACTATAAAATATATTCTTAATTTTGTTCAAAAGTGAACCCCTCAACCTCACATTTTCTGCTCTAACACTTATCTAATTGTTAATAGTAATTTATTAAAAAAATTATATGCATGTGAGCTCGGAAAATTTTAAATTTTTGATGATATGGCGATTGGAACTAATAATAACTGATATTAATGAATCAATGAAATTGAATCATAATTTCTTTATCGGCCAAAAATAAGTTGGCCTGACGGAAATGAAGGATTGCATCATGATCATTTCCAGAAATAATTAAGTCGTCCACATAGACAAGAACATTCAACTGGATAGTCCCTCGAGTGTAAACAAAGAGTAGTCTGTTGGAATAAATCCATGAATACTTTAATATTCGTATTGGAATTATCTAAAGAAATAACTGAGTGAAAGCATACCTGACTCCATTGGAGATGGTCTTTAGAGATCTGGGAGATGGAGGCTAGAGTTTGCATCTTCTAGTTGATACACATCCTCGGGAATGATCTTTCTAGTGATGGGATGCAGAAAGACGGAATGGTGTGCTGAACTAGGGACCATAACCCCTCTATTTATAGAGAATGCTTAACCCTAATCAGCCCATCATTAATTAAGTTAAGTCCATGAGTTTCTATACATTTGGGCCCTATACCCTATTAGATAACATATCGGCCCACTTAAATTAATATCCATAAGACCACTATTTTTTGGGCTTAAATATAAGATAGCATATAACATACATTAAACCCAATAAATAATATATTGTGAATATTACATGTAGTATGAGTCCATTAATCTAACAATCTCCGGCTTAGACGACATACACATGTATACACAATCCTTAGCGTTGTATGTTTACTTTAGGAACTCCAAAATTTTACTATCAAACTGTAGTCATCTTTAATCAATCCAGTCCATTAATTATATCAACATAAGATCAAAGAAGTCTTTGCTATATTTGCATAACTAGACCCATCAATGATCACATATATTAATATAATAAATGACATGGATCAGGTATAGATGTGTAGCGTGGATATAACATGAAGTGTGGTCTGGAATAGAAAGTCTATTTCCAACTGGTCCACCTTGAGATCAATAATATAACTGTAAGAGTACATAGAACTTTAAACTTTAAACTTTAAACTTTGTTTCTGCAGAAATCATCCTTAAAAACTAAATTAACCAAATATAGAAACACTACAAACTCCTATTAAAACTCATAATTCTCAACTGATTTGACACTCATTCGAGCAACATGCTCATGAAATACTTTGGGTGGCAATCCTTTAGTGAGTGGATCCACAATCATGGAGTTTGTGCTAATGTGTTATATAGACAACTTTCTTTCTTGTACTCGTTCTTTAATAGCTTTAAATTTGACCCCAATGTGTTTTGCCTTGATCAAATTACTGTTGTTCTTAGCATTGAGGATTGCTGATCTATTGTCACACAATAGATTAAGTGGTCTTTCAATGTTGTCCACTATGCATAGTCCACTAACAAAATCTCGCAGCCATAATGCCTTATTGGATGCCTAATATCATGCTATAAACTCCGCTTCCATGGTGGAAGTGGCCGTAAGAGTCTGCTTGATACTCCTCCAGGAGATAACTCCTCCAACTAGAATATAGATGTATCCTGAAGTGGATTTCAAGCTATTTTGACATCCAGCAAAATCAAAGTCGATATACCCAATGATCTCAAGCTGATCCGATCTCTGATATGTGAGCACATATTCCTTTGTTCACTCTAAATACCACATGACCCTTTTGGTTGCTTTCCAATGGTCCATTCCCGGATTGCTCAAATATCTACCTAACATCCCAATGATGTATGCTAAATCAGGTCTTGTACAAACCCGAGCATACATCAAACTTCCTACGACAGTCGAAGCATAAGAAATGTTCCTTATTTCTTTAGATTTGATAGTATAGAATTGTGTTTGTTTATGTTTGTAATTTTAACTAGTTTTACTTGTTGTTGTTTGGGAAATTACACATTTTTGGTGTAATATATACTTTACTTTTCCTAGGTGTTTGTAATTTGTTTAGACTAGGAATTTTCTTAGCTTAAACTAGGTAAAGATCATCAATGGTGGCTTTGTGCGGGTAGTAAGACTTTGGTGGACATCTTCAGAGTCAATCTTCCGGGAATCATATATATGTTGGCATATTTGGAAGATCTACTTGGAGATTATTTGGGGTTCGAGTCAATCTATTCCTTCTACAGAAAACAGTATAAGGCAAATAAAACTTTATACACAATCTTGGGTCCTAAGCTTGTCTGATATGAAGCTTATAGGAGTTATAGCTGTGGGTGATATTCTTTTTTCTGAACAACTTGTTCCTTCTTCTTTTTGGTTTCACAAAAAAATTTAAGCCGATTAGATGGGTGAGGCCTAAGGGTAAATTAAAGCTAAATGTGGATGCCTCTTACTTACCTAAAACTGCAGCAGGCAGTGCTTTGATGAGGAATGAACATGGTGAGTTTTTGGATGCCATTCAGTTTCCGATGAGGGCGTCTTCGAGTGTAGAGGCGGAGATCCTGGCTATGGAAACGGCAACTCGATGGGAAAATGACGCTGGCTTTGTCGAATTTCAGGTGGAAATTGATGCGGTGGAGACCTGTGATTACGTTTCAGGAAAGCTGACTGTTAGATGGGTGGCCTCTATTTCTTCGCTGGTGGAGATGGCTAACCGGGCTAGAATTTCGTTTGGACATGTTTTGAGAAAAGGAAACTGGCTAGCCCATTATTTGGCTGATTATAGAGTGGCCCATTTTCACATTATATCTACTTTGACTTCTCTTCCCCCTCTTGTTAAAAGTTCTTATTACTTAGACTTATTTAACATTCCTTCATTTAGATGTTTGGTGTAATTTTTCTTAAGAGGTTTGGTTTGGCCCCCCTCTGATTATCCTTTGTACTTGAGACTAAAATATTTTAATAAAATACGCCAAATGTTCCCCCGACATTTGCGCTATTGATTTTGGTGGTTTGCCTTCCGGTTTAAAAAAAAATCATCAAAAGGATCATGGGAAGGTCAAGGAAAGTGAAAGAGAACAAGATAAAGTGAAAATTTGGGAAAATAGTCAAAATCCCGATCGTGTAAAGCATATATACATAATCGGGTATTGGCCTATTGGGGGTGTTTGGTTTGCAATCTATCAGCTATTTTTTGGCTGATTTGATTGATTTCGGTCTTTTGACGAGGTCAATCAGCTATTAGGAGTGTTTGATTATTTGACTTTTTCAATTAGCTTTTAGTCCGGAACAGCCAAACTTCAAAACGCCAATTATTGTAGCGTTTAGGCTTTGACTTTTCGTAATTTGACGTGAAATTTCTATTCTACCAATCCTTCGGTTCTCATTCTCTTCCGATACACTGCCTTCTCTTTATCCTTCACTCCTCTTGTGTTTAATGGAAATCCACTCAGCCTAAAAATCTTCCGGCGAAATGTAAAAAGCAATGGTGGGAGTAAAGGTGTAAAATTCAATCCCATTTTGAATTTTTCTATTTCGATACTACAGTATAATAATGACGATAATAATGATGATAATAATAATAATGATAATAATGATGATCATAATAATGATAATAATGATGATCATAATAATGATAATAATAATGATCATAATAATAGTAATAATTGTAATAATAGTAATAAAAGTAATAATTATTATGCATGATGATTATGATGATTATGATGATTATGATGATTATGATTATTATTATTATTATTATTATTATTATTAGTTTTATTATTATTATTATTATTATTATTATTATTATTATTAGTTTTATTATTATTATTATGGAAAATGGAACCTAATAATCCAACCTTTTAGAGGTCTTCTTACAATAGTCTCATCTTTTGATTATTCATGAATAATCCAACCTTTGCACCCCATCTTCATTCACTAGTCCCTGGTCGATTTATGACCTGTTATTCCAAGTTATTTTCTTATCTTTGCAAAACATTATGTGATTATAAGGTGGGAAAACATTCAAATTAATTTTTGAAGATTACTGCGCATTTTTGCGTTCTTGAATTAATTTGAATGCGCTCCTGATTAAATTTTTAGCTGAAATTTGGTATGAGTAAACTAGACTTGATGAATAACATGCTCAAAAAAATTCATCAAAAAATTCCACCGGGAACCGCCCCAAATCCCGACGACCGGACAGAGTCTCCTATAGAAGGACTTAATTGACTTTTTATGAAAGTTCGAGGACCTATTTGACAGTTTTGCCTTATTATTATTATATTCATACTAAAGCTAATACTCCATGTGTCCCCCTTTTAGTTAGTCGTTTTTACTTTCCAAGTCAATAGAAGAGTTAAACTTTGACCGATAATATATGTATAAACCGAAATATTTATAATATCAAATTGTTCTTCATAAAAAATACTATCATAAAAGTACCATATTATTAAGTTTCACATAATGTATTAGTTAAAATAATTCATCAAAAGACAAAGTTCATTATTATTTTGGAGTGAAACAGTCAAAGAAAAGCAGAGATGTAATATGTGAATATGTGGTGTTAGGAATGCTCATCGTGAATGAATTCCTTGAAACAAACCAAAAGAACAACGACAACAGAAACGAGAAATGGTATGTAGATTGCTGCCGTCCAATAGTGAAATGAAATGGAGAGTGCCAACCCCAAACTTAACTCAAAATGTGTATATGTTTTGGGAGTAGTTGATCCAACAGGAGGTGATGATCTAGTTGTGCATAATCCAACCACTGCCCATAAAAGCATAAAAATGATGACCTGAGGGGACAGAAGTGGCTTCTCCTTTAGTTCCCTCCACGTGTCGAAAATGAGAACTAACTTACCTTCACCATCACATCTGCAATTATCCAAGAATACTGGCAGTGTAGTGGCAAACCCAAATTCATATATTTCTAAAACTGCATCAATCCACCATCGCCTCTTATGAAAAAATGTCGTCTTCTCATGAACAACAGAGAGTAGGACAATGGAGAAACAGTAAACAAGTAGAACAAGGAAAAGGGTCTTCATCATATGCCCGTCATCATCCCTACACCGCTGGTAGAAAAGCATTTTTTCCGCATTAAGCCACATAAGGCCAAGTGCCAAGAAGTTATGATAAATGGCAAAAAAGGGCTTACTAGTATTATAAAAAGGATAGGGAAAACTCGACATCATCACGCTTTTCATCCACTCTTTTGAGACGACCCCGATCACAAACGCGATGGTGCACACAAGGAGTGGGAAAATGCCTGAAATTACATCTCTAGAGACTAATAAATATTCCAAAGAGATGACAATCATGCTCTTCAATACCAAGTCGTAAACGGTGCATCCCCACTTCCCCCTCATATTGCTTAAACCCATCCCAAACATTTCCCATCCATACAAAAAAAGTATCATTGATCGTGAATGTAGCAAGGGTTTCTCCTTAAGGGTCTTGTGCATATCATGACGAAAGGATACTCCACATTTATTAATACTATCCCATTCCAAATGGGAGTTTAACACAGAGAACGTAGAAGCCATTCCAAACCCTATAAGGTCAGTCAATATCTTTACCAAATCTGAGTTATTCAAGAAACAATGCCGTCGAGGAACATCCTTCCCCGATAAGGAACAGAGCTTTCTTCGGATTGATGACAAACATAATAAGAGCGAAGAGTATGCGATTAAGACTATAAAGCATCCAGCCATAATACTAAAGGCGTGATGGGTGTGGCGGCCGCCGCAACTTAACGAGGACAGCGGCCTAAAGGCGGCGTAAGGAGTCACGGCCGCTGCCGCCACGCATGACATAGCCACCAAAACTTTGGTTCCAAGTTTCAGATACAACTCCTCATTAGTATATCTACTTCTCATGATATAAGCCATAATAATAACTGTATTCAAGAAACAATTACCAAGATTAATTAGAGGCTTAGAACTACATTCACAAATGATTGTTTCTTTTTTTCTTATAATGAGTCGATACTTGCATTAATTGACATCGCAAAGAATGGGTATATTTTGTCTGTAATAAACGTAAGCCATTCTTTAATACGCAGTATAATATAGTAATTACATTTATTCCAATTATTTTGTATTGAAGATGAATATTGCATTTTTAAAATTACCACGGTGCAATCATACATTAAATTAAATATTACTCCGTAATTCAAGAAAATTCTAAATGCTTCCAATTAAATTGGCGTATGATGATTACAGAGAATTAATTGCCTGAAGTAGCGCTGAGCACGGATTGAGTTCAGGCATGTAAGGCTGAGCACGGAAAGGGGTCGCGGGCAGGTTGGGTTGGTTAGAAGTAACCTGTTTGGGGGTCAGGGAAAATTTGAGTAACCTGTGTGGACATATAAAATTTATTGAGCCAGTAGTGATGATTATTGGACTTCTTTAAAATATACCAGATTATTCTGAATCATTTTGGGTTTCTTTTGAATTGTATTAAGCCAACGTCGACTCTACGGGGCTGCTTGTGGTGGTTGTTGGGCCTTATAAATTATTAATATGGATCCGTTCGGATAAAATGCAAAGATTAAATTAATTTGGGTCATTTAAATATCCAATTAATTTAATTATGAATTAAATCTTTAAAAAAATGGACCGGTCCTATTAATTTCTTTATTTTGAGCCCATTATTAAATAGTAGCCCAATGAATAAGAGTCATTATCCAATTGATAAAGAGAGCAATGAATATGGTTAAGAAATCCATCTGTATGCATGGAAAATGGCTACGAACCTTGTTAAAAAGGCTGTCCAGATACATCGCACAAATGCTAATTTTTATGGCTATTAAATGCAAGCAAATAGAGCCCAAAACCCATCTTATTTGAGGCCCAAGGGATATGGACGAATTTCCAAAACCCTAGAGCATATTTTCATCCCCTCCACACCTATAAATAGGGGTCTCAGTTGAGAGGAAAAAAAGGGAGAATTTTCAGACGAAGAAACGATGCAGAAAAGCTCTCAAAACTCGCGAAAGGCTCTGAACGATTCCGAAGAAGAGGAATAGATCAAGCCACGAATTTTATTAAGAATATACGAATAATCCTTCGTGATTTCGTCGATTCTTAATAAAATAAATCCAAAAGTTGAAGAACGTTCGAAGATCTGAAGAACGGAGCTTTAAGATTCGAAGATCTGAAGAACAAGACTTTGAAGATTCGAAGATATGAAGAACGAATCTTTGAAGATTTGAAGATACTCATATGAAGATTGAATTGAAATTCAATTGAAGATCAAGCCATATATCCCGGGAGGTCCTTAAACAAAAGATCAAGCCATAAAACGGCCCTTTTGTTGAAAATCAAGCCACTTGAAAACCGGAGGCCCTTCAAGTTGAATTCTTAATTCAAGAAGATTTGAAGAGCTGACAAATGAAGATTCGAAGATCTCAAGAACAAAGATTTGAAGATCTGAAGAACGTTCGAACGTTTGAAGGATTTAAGATTTAATTTTGAATTAATTTCTTTAATTATATTTATTTCAAATTGCAAGTGAAGAATCAGAGGATTCATATTTAGAGATTGTACCCAATATTCTCATATATTATTATTTGTGATCAATTTTAAGTGAATACTTAAAATTTGTTTCACAAATTTTTGGCACACCCAGTGGGACATCTCTACCTCTCATCTCTTTACTTTTGATCAAGGAAAACAAACCCATGGCATCAAACAAGCCCGTGTTCACTCTGAATTCTAGAGCATCATCAAGCTCGAATCAAAACATGCAAGACCCTATCACTAGGAGCCGTTCAAGAATCCTGACTGCGCAGTCATCTTCGGGAACTACTCCCGGTGCGATGGATAGATTTCAAATTGCGCAAGAGATGGTCCGGAAGCTTTCTTCACCCATATGTGAAGTTACTTCCCCAAAATGGACAAGCAGTGGAGATAGCTCATCATCGGGGACACTCTACTTCCCCGTCAACCTCTCCACGAAGAACTACTCCGTAGTGGTCAAATGTCTACACTGTGATGCCCACTATGATGACAAGCACGACATCTATGGAGGAACAAATCGCTCATCCAACTAAGGTCATCAAGGGGATGAGTATGTTCATGCAAGATCAAGATCAGAAGTTGAACGATCTGAACTGCAAAGTAGAAAGCTTGAAAGGCGAGTCAAGTCATGCTCATGGGAAGGATCCCGAAGTGCTGTATTTGGACCATTAGGGCCTATTGAGCCTGTTTGTAGTAGTGAAAAAATGTGGATCGGGGATTCCTGGACCATATATTGTTTTTATAAATGCTATCATGAACCGATAGTCCAACCTTCTTTTTTGGCTAAAAAATGCTATCATTGTTTTTTATTTTGCTAAACTTGGAGGTTGGCATCCGGGCCGTCCTCAGGGGAGGGCAGCAGGGCGACCACCCTAGGCCCGAGCTCCAGGGATGTGATTTACTCCTGTATTCTTTTCATCTCTATGTACGAGCTCCATTTTCTTAATGTCGATTGATCTTGGTAACTATTCTCCCTAACCACTGTAATGTAACGGCCCAAACGCTTGACATTCTTTTGTCCCTCTTGATTTTGCAAATTTAAACATGTGTGATGAGTTTGCATTTTGCACCAGAAGCAGATTTTTTCACTTTCATTGCTAATCTAACAGTAAAGATTAATTCATCGTTAAAAAATAGATTTTATTTTTGTAAAATTTAATTTTTAGCAAGATGGAATGGCTTAAAATAATACTTCATATGAATAAGTAAAAAAAGGATAATTTAATTCATGTTTAACCTCAAATGAAAGAGGCCTAAGATTGTGCATATTAGATCACGTTTTACCAATCGGTCCAAACTTTTACGAGAGTTCCTTCATTTATCTCAGTTCCTCGGTAGATAACATTACCCCGTCTGGATGAACTTTGTCAAGTTAGAATTAGGAGAGAAATAACAAAAGTGAAAGTTGTGTGATTGAAGTTTGCGCAAACGAGAGAGAAATAAATAAAAACCACAAATTAAATGCTTAAATTGGAAAGTGACACAACTTGTTGGGATACCTCAAAAGAGAAAGTTGACAAAGTCACATGGAAGAGTATATGCATTTTAAGTTCTCTTAGATAAAGTCATTTAAAGATATATACTACGTAGTTAGTTTGGACAACAAAACAAACGCATGCAAGCACACTTGAGCAAAACAACACAAACTTGTTTGTAAATGTTTTTGCTTTATAAAAAGCACATTTCAAAGTGATTTTGAAAAAAAAATGATTAATAATAAAAGTTGGTAGTGTTTGAGAAAAAATTGATTTTGAAAAGCAAAAAGTTGGTAGCGTTTGGTAAATATGTACTTCTCGTAATCTCGTGTAATAGAAAAAGTAAAAAGCAGATACTAGCTTTTAGCTTTTAAGTGTTTAAATAAGTAGAAGTTAACCGTTGAAAACAAAATTTTCAGCCTTTTAAGCCAAAAGCTGAAAATCGCTTTTATTTTTTAATTTTTTGCAAACACGTCCTTAAGAATAATACACAAAATAGAGTGCGTATACCATGCAACAGGTGCATTGTGAGCACCGTGCACCCATTGGATATTATTTTCTCTTTTTTTAAAAATAGTAATAACTTTTTTATTTTTGATCTGATTTTTATAAAATTTATATCAACATTTTTTATTTTTCATGATCTTTCAAATGAGACCAATATTGCCTATGTAATTTTAACATATTAACATTTGCGTGTAAATATGTAACTTTACGTGTAAAAATATGTAACTTTACGTGTAAATATATGTAAGTCGCGTTCAGGCATGTCAAATGGAACTCGTGTGTATATATATGTAACTCGCTTTTAAAAAGATGTAACTCGCTTATAAAAAGATGTAACTCGCTTATAAAAAGATGTAACTCGTTTATAAAAAGATGTAACTTGCTTATAAAAAGATGTAACTCGCTCATAAAAAGATGTAACTCAATGTATTATCAAATGTAACTGAGGCCACTGATCCACTCCCAAACAGATTCGATCTTCTATTTCACAGGGTGATTTCCCAAAATACGGGAATAGTTAACGGGAGATGCCAAATTACGGGGATAAAACTAGGGTTTCCAAAAATACAGGAGTCGGATTGCCCTTTTTTTTTTGATGAAATGTAAATATATATAGAATCATCAAAAGTATATGTACATCAAAATGTCAAAACTATAGGCAATCCAAACATTTGGATACCCTAACCATCAAAATGATACCTAATCCGAGAGATTAGTTATCCACCCCAAAACCTAGCCATAAGGCATGACAAAAAGTGGGCGGGCAATCAGTTCCTTAAGCTTCAGAAGTCTATCATTTGTACCGGGTATAATGAGTAAAGCACTTTATACACCATAAACTTGATTTGCCCCAAAACTTCATCAAGATTTGGATTTGCACCATCAAACCGAATGGAGTTTCTTATTCTCCAAATCCAATATATTGAGTAGCAAAAAGATATCCTCGCTGCTTTGGCCTTCACATTTGCTCCCTTTTGTTCCTTCTTCATCCATTTGACCGAGCTCCTAAGCGTGTGCATGCTCCTCTCAAGTCCTAGCCATTGTTTTACCTTTCTCCACACTTGCCCTGTAAAACAACATTCAAAGAATAGGTGTGGTACCGTTTCCGGACCACCCTTACAAAACGGGCATACATTAGCCATATCAAGAAACGGTAAATTATCATACGTGGATAGTTTATTCCTAAAAGCCAACCACGCAATAAACGAGAATTTGGGTGGAATATAGGATTTCCAAATAAACGCCATCCAAGCCCTCGGTGTGCCTTTGGCTCTCAAAAGGTCATATACTTTGGAGGAGGAGAGTTTACCATTCGAGGTACACTTTCCAAGAAAAATCAAGGCTTCCTCCAAAGATGGAAATTTTGAAAGTAATTGGTCCCTTATCAAGACAAACCTTTTCATCAATTGTGAGTCTCTTGTGTGTGGATCAAAGGTCCACACATCTCTCCCATGGAGATATACTCCATGAACCCACCTAACCCATAGACTATCTTGTTTCTGATGTATATTCCAAAGGGTTCTTGAAAGCAAAGCATTATTCCATACTTTAGCATCTC